TTTATTTGATCGGATATTATGAAAGCAGATCCGTGATTACGTCAGGTAAGATAAGCCATCCAGCACTTAAGATAAAAACTGGTTATTTTTTTATTAATAAAAAGAGCGGATGCACTTTGTTAATCAATTATGGAAGTTTAATGTTATTAGAAAGTGATTTTAAAACTATTTTCGGACACGTTCATAGGTTTAAGATCCGGTTGGCCGAGCATATGTCGGAAACCCTTTTGTGTTAAAAGTTTCAAATCAAAAGCACTTTTTAACTGAGTCTTAGGGGTAGTTACATAAAAAAGGATTTTTCACTTTAACGCATTACGCGATCGGTGCAACGTGAGCGGCTGGTATAGATTAGAGTTCAAATCTGGTTCTGATTACGCTGATGCGACTTTTCCTTTTTAATTAACTCTTTTTCAAGTAAGAAAATATTTCCCCATAAGCAATTCTATTTAGATACGATATGAGTATTTTCTGATCGATGTGAATTGCATTTCAGCATTGTTTCTCTGAATTTATTCTATCTTCATTATTTTATGTGCATTTTGTAACCCTGTTTGATTAGCCTAAAATAGAATACCGTAACAATAGTTATAGATAGTTTGACCTTGATCTCTGTGGGAACGATAATCTTTTATATTACTCTGACGTAGTCTGTATACTTACGGAAAGCACTGACACGCGATCAATTTCACATATTATTTGTTATGAAAATCTATAAATATTTTCATTTCGTAGTGAATATTTTCATTGCTCCATTCGTGGAAAATTTTGCTTCATAGAAAAAGAAATGAAAAACAAAATTTTTATGAAGGCATTTTAGGAACGGGGACGATGAACATATCCCCGTCCTACAAAATCTTCTACCAGCATAAAATATGACAATATCCTCAATTAATATATATTTTTAAATTTTTATGTACATTTATTTTGTTATTTCATATAATTTATCTTATAAAAAAATTAGAACATATGTGCAAACGTTAATAGAAACATAAATTACATATTATCAAAACAATAGCTTTATTATAAAAAAAAATTTATGGTTAGTTATTGAATTCTTTTTATTATTTATTTGTAAAAAGTAAAAAAAAAATTAATGTTTATGGAATTCCACAGAAATCATGAGGATCGACTAATCAAAATCTTCTAATAAGAGGAAACTAAAACGGAGATGAGAAAACTAAAACGAAGATGAAAATAGTTTCGAAGGCAGAGATCAAAATGAGGATGTATCCCTAGATATGACAACATAGACCGTATCTACGGGTATCCACTTGAACACGCCTCGAATTTGACGGGGAAAACTCGCTTTGACTGAATTTGGGTTCGGGTTTGAGTTTTCCCCAATTACAAAATATGGAAACAGATTAGGTAATGTTCTGATATTTTGATTTGTATTTATTATTTAAAATATTTAATATGTATGCATAAAATTTTAAGATTGTTTTATTTTATTATTTGTAATATAATTTTATTTTTTAAAAAATAAATATTTCATTAAACAAGTTAATTTTAGAATTTTTTACCCAAATACCCCAGTTTTTCAAAAAAAATCCCAAAATAACTCACTTTTTAAATTATTTCCCAAAGTACTCCACTTTGGGGTACTGATTGAGAGAATGCGTCATACCAATTGGCAACCCCTAACAAAGGCCAACAGTTGTCGCCAATTGGATTGGAGACACCACATGGTGTTGCCAATCCGATTGGCACCACAATGTAAAGTTTTAAAGGGTGTCGCCAATTCAATTGGAGACAGGGTAGAAAGTGAAATTTTTTCTATAAATAGAGGTGTTAAGATCATTTATTTCCACATCTCATCTCATATTCTTGTATTACTGATAACATACATCGTCGCCGCTACGTGAAAGTGATTTATTCGAGAGAAGCCTCCGATGAACATGCTCTTTTGGTACATTCAAAGTTTCAAGAAACTACAGAGGAAGCTGAATCGGTGGTTAGACAGAGACATACCTGAAGGGGAAAAATAGAAGTATCGAAAGACATGATACCCTGCATGGGCGGGTTCATGTTAAGACTAACAAGGATGTGACATAAGTGATGTTTGGACCAAATGATACCAGTTTGATTGTTGTAATAAGTTAGAAATATTTTGTTTATCTGTTTTGATATTTGTTGTATGTGTTGTTTGTTGTTAACTTTGTTGTAACAAAAAGTCATTAATATATCAAAATATAAGGTTACAACAATTAAAAGGAGAAACTAACTTATGATGCAGAGGTTGCTCTGACACTAGGACAATTTTTCCGATTGTGTCCAGGCTGATGACATATACTACATAATCTTATCATTTTATTAGTTGTATTCATTTATGTTCTTATACACGTGTTGTTTAAGCGTCCTTTTTTCTTTCTTCGTGTCTCATCATTGTGCTAAACTATGTCCCCTTAGTTTGGATGCCAATATTCCTCCATTTCTAGCACTACGAAGCCTTCGTTGTAGATATTCATAACGCTAATGTCCTTGTAAACATCAGATAGATGAATGTAAGCATTCTGACGAGCATGTGCGTATGCCGCAATGACACGGGAGTAAGGTACACGGAATACTTGTATCTTGCCACAGTCACACCAATATCTGTTTAGTTTGACAACATAGGATAAATTTGACATCCCCTCATTGAGGTCCATTGTTTCCTATACACTAAAAATTTGGCTATGACAGTCAAAGACTGTAACTGCATGTGTGTTGACTTTAACAGTTTCCTCTTTCATCACTTTCATTATGTATTCATTGAATTATTGACCTGACATTAACACTACACTCCATCTTTCACCTCTAGTTGTAAAAAGTGATGTCAACCTATAATAGGTTGATCTAACCAATGCGGTGATTGTAAGGTTTCTAATTCCTTTGAAGACGTCGTTCGTGGAATCCACAAGGTTTGTTGTCATGTGGCCCCAACGACATGCACCGTCAAATGCCCTTGTCCATTTGTCCAATGGAATGTTATCCAACCACCTTCCGGCATTTGCATTTGACGTCCTAATTTCATTAAGGTAGTATTGAAATAATGGTTGAGTTAGAGCATACCCTGCATTCACAACTTTTTTGCGAAGGTTCTTGTCTTTGATTGCACGCATAAAGTTTTGTGTGATATATCTAATGCAATAAACATGGGTAGAAGGAGGATTATGCCACCCGTTATCATGGTTATCGTAAGCACTCTCAATAGCAACATGCATGTCTGAAATCAAACAGAGATTAGCTTGTGGATCCACATGTGTTCTGAAATTCTTAAGGAAGAAGCTCCAACCAGTAGCGGTCTCACCTTTAACCAAAGCAAAGGCAATGGGAAAGACATTATTGTTGTCGTCTTGTGCAACTGCCATAAGTAAGGTGCCCTTGTATTTTTCGTATAACCATGTTCCATCAATTTGAATAATAGGTTTGTAGAATGCAAAACCTTTTGTGAATGGTTGAAACGTCCAAAAGAGTCGGTGAAATATGGCATTTCCATCAACAATAGTTCCATCTGGCCTACATGTCGGCACTGTCTGCATAATTGCAACAGTCCTCGATGTGTATGTCTTAAGTCCTTGGTGAAATATGCATATGCCCCCAACACGACATCAAGATATAGGCAAAACGCCCAAACATCATACCATAGCCATAACGCCCAAGCATCTTTCCATAGCCAAAACGCTCAAACATCACATCATAGCCTACACATACAAACATTACAACAACCTTATGGCTTTCAAACACCAATACCATTTTAACTTTTCACCAACGAAGCCTTCACACCAATGTCCCCCTTCAATAGTCTAGGTCGCACACCAATGACTCATTCATCACATCCGAATTACTCTAGCATGCGTTGCGAGCTTAGTTTCAACATACAAGACTTCTTGAAAATGCAAGAAATTCGTAGGAATTTTGCTGAGAATGTTCCTGAGACCTCAACTCCTTAAACATCTGGAGTGAATCAACATTCAGGACAACGAGTGAAAGTGCCTAGGAGATGTGGAACCGGTGACCGGTATGACCAATCCGGTCATCAATATTAATTTATGTAATGTTATTTTTAATTAAATATTAATGTTGGTTATTTATGTTTAAAAAAAAATCACTTTCCACCTTGTCTTCAATTGAATTGGCAACACCCTTTAAAACTTTACACTGCGGCGCCAATTGGATTGACAACACCATGTGGTGTCTCCAATCCAATTGACGACAACTCTTGACCTTTGTTAAGAATCGTCAATTGGTATGGCGCATTCTCTCAATCAATACCTCAAAATTAGGTACTTTTGAAAATAATTTAAAAAGTGGATTATTTTGATTTTTTTTAAAAAAACTAGGGTATTGGATAAAAATTCTTAATTTTACTAAAGGATGGTCGCAAAAAGGATACCCAAACCCATTTAAAACAAATTTGAATTATAATTCTCCATCCCCATTCAATTTGGGACAGAAAACATTGTTTGGAAATTCGAATTCAAAAAAGGTAAAAAAAACATCTCTAAATTGTTTGGAAATTCAGATTCAATGCCTATGTATCCCCTATTATCGTCACACAACAGAACATGTGATTAACTATTCGATCTGATGATTAAACACAGACCCCATTTCTCACTATACCCGCCCTATTGAGATTTTTTGTTAACTTAACATACTTCATGTACCTTTGGGCTAATTGCCCAGGAGGACAATATCACACATTGAATCACGGGTTTTGAAATACTTGGAACAACACATTATCATTTTATTTTGGTTTGAGCTTCTTTTTTTTGGGGGGTTATAACATTACACCATATCAAACATAACAACCAAACAAGATGATATAAACACCAATATACAAAATGAAGTCGAAGTATAAGAATACAGACCAATAGGTATTGTAAATGCAAAATAATCAATCTATCCAGTGCATTTTCATCACACCTGTAGCTGTGAATGTGCGAACTTGGAGAAAACACTGGTTACTGAAACAATCAATAGGTGCCTAGACTCAACACAAGGCGTTCTAAATTTATTTATCACCTAGAATAACCAGAAGCGGGGTATCCTTGTGGAGGATAAGCATTAGCAGGTGGAGGATAGGCAGTTGGGGGATAACCAGTGGCGGGATAGCCCTGAGCAGGTGGATAAGACTGTCCATATGCTGGTTGTGGTGCATACCCAACCGAAGGAGGAACTTGCTGATCAATGCGTGACATCTGCTGAGCAGGGGGCACTGCCATTACGGGATGAGGTCCAAACTTTCCGTCGCGCTTGTCCATTTCAACCTTGTGCTGAGTCTGCAAATAAAATGTGTTGTATTAGTCATGATCATATTTAAACAACATAATGATTAACCAACTGCGGGTAATAAGTAACATACTTACCTGCATGCACGCACACACCCTACAAATAAAAAGAAACATAAGTTTAGTACAAAACCTTTCATTATAAAATGCACAATCAATGATGACAGTATTTGAGAGAGATAAAAGGAGTAAAACGTACGTGCAGTACACAAGCTCAGCCAAACAAGATAGCAACTGAGAAGCCTCTGAAATTTCTTCACTTCCCACAATCATGGCAACAATAGAGAATATGCATGCAACTTGGTTAAGACAAAACATGAAACCCTAAACAAAATAATTGCATGTGATTTAGCAGAATATCGATAACAAAAAAAAATTGAATGTGTATCAGTATGTGATGTGAGTATGAAATAAAGAGATAGGAATATGAAATGGAGGAGATAGAGTACAATAATGCAGTTATCACACTGCGTAGTTTGAATGTTAAATTCATCTTGCAACAGAAAACGAGTTGAGGCCACTGAATTTCCAAAGCAGAGAAAAACCTGAAACAATGCATAAATATAAAGTTGACAATGTTATCTGAAAACAACAGAAAATTCAAGTGAATTAAAAAAACTAGCTTAAAAGAATCCTATGTGATCTTTATTTTATTTAATGGTAAAGAAATTGATTTGAAAATTTTTTGTAAAAACAAAAATGAATTGTATTAATACAAACCCACAAAAGGTGCAGAAAGTCTACAAGAAGACCCAAAAGTGGTCCATAAATTTGTTTCACTAATATTCCCAATGCTCTTTTACAACCATATTCAAATAGAGACTTTCACTTCAACTCTATATTCAGTGCGTTTTCATCTTTTCAATTATGTGATGACTCTACAGCCTATAATGGAAAATAAAGTTTAAATAAATGAACTACGGCTCAAAAATGAAATCAACAACTTACTTATCCACCACCTAAAAAGCAATTTTAAATCTCATGCCATCGTTTGACCATGAAAGTAATAATTTATTTTATTATTGACAATGGCATAAAAACTGGTGAAAAGTCACCCTAGAGTCTACATTTACCTTCCTCCATCTTGAACAATGTATTTCTACTTCTATATACGACCTTGTTCAGAAATCTTCAAGTTTTCTCAAAATCCTATTTAAACCCACAAGTTTTCTTTCAAATACTAAATCTAGGTTAATCTTATCTATAGGTTCCCGTTCCCATACTGTTCGGGGATTTTTAATTCTTAAGATAAAAGTCACAGATTCCTAGATTGGGAACTTCCAATTAATTAAATCCTAATAAGATAAAAGTTTTAAATCGAGTCCTTGGAGTTCCATATATTCTTAACTCTTCTTAATCAAGCCCTTATCGTTAGAGCACCATAATAAAGGAGGTGTTAAGAGAGATTCCCTTGGGGTTTGGATCCACTAATGGGGAAAACAAGGTGTGCAGACTAAGAACAACATTGTATGGGCTAAAGTAGTCTCACTGAACTTGGTTTGGAAGATTCAAGAAGGCAATATTGTGCCTAGGAGAAACAAGCGAAGACAATGAGATCACAGACTCTTCAAATATTCTCATGAGCAAATGCTACAGAACTTCTTGTTTATATTGATGATAAAATTGTAACATGAGATTATCCAACTGAGACAACTACTCAAATAGAAACTATTTGTTGAGTTTGAGATGAAGGCCTGTGGAAAACAAGTACATAATGGCAAATGACTTGGTCAACTAAAAGCAAGGCGTCTTCACTTCTCAAAGAGAGTGTGTGTTTGATCTATTGTAGGAGTCGGGCAAACTTGGATGCAGTGTTCTCGTGGAGGAAAATCAGAGTATTGAAAAGGAAAATGTCAAGGTTGACAAGGTCCAATATCAGACTAATTGGAAAGCTGATTTATTTGGTACACACTAGACCAAGTTTAGCTTATCAATCTGTGTTTTGATTCAACTCATGTATTATCTGAGGGTAACAAACTTACAAGCAACATATCTCATTCTGCAGTTTAATGATGGAGATATGCAGGGTTTTGTGGGTGATAGAAATCCACTTCTGGTTATTGCACACTCTGGTGCGGGAATCTAGTGGCTTGGAAAAGTAAGAAGGGAAATGAGGTTACTCAATCGAGTGCTGGAGCCGAATTAATAGCTATAACACAAGGAATTTTTTTTCCTACTGTTGATGAAAATTTATTGTTTTATGACAACCATTGTTACATTGCCCTCCTCCTAATAAAATTGATCACCAAAATAAAATAATTCATACAAAAATTGGACGCTACATTGCCCCCCTCCTAATATAATTAATCACCCAAATAAAATAATTCACACAAAAATAGGATAGAATACCCGGGCCTAACAATCTACCTTGATAAACACCCATAACAGCATGTATAAATATCAGGCATATAAAATAACGAAGGAAAACAAGTAAAAGTTTCTATACCTCAGTACAAAGGCAAAATTCAGGACATTTACTCTCTCCACACCTACCACTGCAGGGCATGTAACCAGCACAACATGTGTATCTGGAACAAACAAGACAAATATGTATCACACAAAAAAATGTGCAAGTCGTTTTTAAAAGTTTGGAAAAGAAAAAACTTTATCAATTACCTTGACATGTCATCATAAAGGGCTCGTTTCCGAAGCAAGTATGATACACACGGTGCACTATAATGAGACAACGGGATATTACATTACTACTTGGAAAATAAGTAAATATACAATTATGCATTCTTTGAAGGCCGAGAAAAATTGCAATATAACCCAAAGTGCATTGGAGCTAAAAAGCATTAACTACCTACTAATGAATCAGATATAAAATTGACAAGGACCCAAATGGCAAGTCAAAAGCTGAGACAGTTTATACAAACAGGTCATAGATGAAATATTTAAACAAAGTACAAAGAGGTACTTGAAAATGGAAACTAGCTCAAAGCACAAAATATACAGCACACTGACGCAGTCCTCTCGAATCAAATCTTAATGAAAATCAAATTTCAAGAAATGTGATTTTTGAATAACCTTAACTACCACATGCATGAGAAAGCTTAAATGCTCAAGGTGTCCACAGAAATCACATTTTCAATATAACAACAAATCACAAAATCTATAGTAATTTTAAAAATTTCGCTCATCAATTAGTTAGATGTGGCATCACACTGTGTTATAAGTTCTTTTTAGCCGAAAAAGTTGTGTGGTCATGGAAATCTCACAAGTGTAAATGTATTTAATTGTCGATTTCACATTAATCATAATTCAGAAGTAAGCATTGTTTATCTTTTCCACACTATTCATGTATTTTTCACCTTTTCCTCCTCATCTATGGGATTATGGGTCCTCTACATTTCTCAAAATAAACTAAAACCTCTATATTTACTAGTGTTTTAATTGTATAAAATTCCAATTATACAAAAATACATGTCACAATTTCTTCAATGGACATTTATTTATACACCGAAAACTTTCCTAATGAAAAATGGAGATGAGCCTACTCCATCTATTCATCTACAGAATATAAGAAAATCATATCAAGCAAATAATAGCTCTAATCAAGTCGAACAGAGTACAGAGGTTCCAAAAAGAAAGCACTATCTCAAGTTAGATGAATAGTCAATGCAAGTCAACGCATATCCAACATCAAAAATCCAGAAACAACAATTAAACAGCAGAAATTAATCAATTTCTCAACCAACAAAAACAAAATCACGATCAGATCTAAATCAACAACACATGAAAAATTCGTTCAGCTACAGTAAGAGAAAGTTTCAGATAGATCACATACCACCACAGCGAGAAACAGCAATCTGCGGAGAATTCAATTTCAGAAACGAAATGAGTAATCACAAAACAGAAATCGAAAAATAGAAGAGTGAGAGTGAAGTGACAGTGTGCTTACATGGAGTATCGGCCTGGATAGTTCTCAAGAGATCGGTGTGCCAGAGATTCCGGTAATTCTGCCGGAGTTGCATTTTCTCAAGATTCTGCTGATTCGCCGCCATCTCCGATGGATTTTCTTCTTCAACGGAGAACTAACAGAAACAAAACCCTAGATCCGATTATTCCAGAGAGAAAACGCGTATACAGTGTATATATATTTATACAAAATGAAAAGAAAAAAGAAAAAGAAAAATTATAATGATGTTTGTGTTTGTATGCAAAGAAAGGAAAAGAGTATTACTATAAAATTGATTGAAGAGAGTTTTGGAAGGGAAGAAATAGAATGCGCGTTGGAGTGGATTTTGAATAAGGGAAAGTCTTTAAAGGCCGGCCGTTTGATATTTTCAGTTGGCTTGGCTTCCTGGCTGTTTCTAAAGTTCACAAAAGACTTGAGCTGACCCTTCGAAACGACGGAACGTAGGGTATACTATAACACTAATCTAATGCGATTATCCAAAGTTTTCGACTTTCAAAATTGAGGTATTATTAGCTGTAACGGGTTAAAAAATAGATTAAATGCATTTTTGGTAGTTTGAGCGGTTTAAACAATTAGTCATCTTATTACAAAATCAATGATTCTGATTTCTAAATTTTGATAGTGAAATATTTCGTATATTCAAAGAATGAACCAATGAGATTATATTCAAGTTTATGGAATGCTGTTGATTGGGCAACAAGAGGTGAACTCGTGAAAACAGATTGGACACGAGCTCCATTTACTGTTTATACTCGTTCCACATTTAAGTTGTTTCTATGTTTTACTTGTGAAATTCAGAATGGACACGGATTGACCACAACTTCCCTATATTTAAGTTGTTTTTGTCCCACATCGATTTATTTTATTAATAATGCAACTATTCATATAGCTCATATATATATATATATATATATATATATATATATATATATATATATATATATATATATATCATTTGAGGTATATATATCTTTTATCACGAAATGAAATTCTTAGTAGATGGATTTGGGCCAAAAGTAATATTTTAATATTTTAATTAAGTAATTAAAAATATTATTAAATATTAAAATATTCTAATCATTATACCAATTAATTAAAAATAATTTTTAATCCACATATGGAAAAGTGGATGGGGACCACAAAAATTTAAAAACTATTAAAATTAAAAGATCAAAATAGTTGTTTTATAATAGGGGAATCAATTGTTTAAAACATATAAATTAAATGGATTAAAAGTGCATTTAAGTTAAAAGAGTGAACAAAACCTAAGAGTTTTAAAACAAGAACAAATAAACAGAGATCTAGGTAAGGGGATGGTTATGCAATAGGAAGGTGTTAGCACCCAAAACGTTTATAATATTCTATAGGAGCCCTATGAAATATCTACATTTTTTTGTTTGAAAATGTTTGCTTGAAAAGAGATTGGGGAGATGAGAAGAGAATTATTTTTTAGATTTTTGTGTTTGGAGAGACTTATCGTTTCATGTCGACGTACCCACAAAGTGCAATATAGGATCAAAACTCCGTAGTTCGTGGTACAGATATAAAAAATTTGTTGGTTATAATTGATTTTTAAATGTAAAGACAAGTCATCCTTTTAAGGAGAGAAACTACGACTAGTCGCCCACAGGTATAAGACAACATTTGCATCATCTAAAGATAGAGGATTTTTACTTGGATTAAATCAACAAATCTATCACTTAACATCTAAGTGGAAAATGTCAACGTCTTAAATACTATGGGGAATAAGAGAATTAAATACTATGGGGAATAAGAGAATTATATTTCAACTATGGAAATGACTCATGTCTAAACTTTATGAAGAGTTTTTTTAAAATGGAAAAGTGCACAAGGGCACAAAAAGATTTGAATTAGTTTTTTTTGTATTTTTTAAGTCTTTTTTGAAATTGGTCAAAATATGATTAACATTGATTGACATTTATTAAAGAAAACAAAGTTTGAAAATCACTTGACAAAAGTCAAGATTTTTTATGAAAGCGATTTTAAGTTTGAAAACAAGAAGGCTTTTGAAAAAGGGAGAAGATTTTAAAAATTTAAGAAGGGGAGGAGATGAAGTGACTATCCTAGAAAGCAAAATAAAAGTTAGAGATAAGAATGATCTAACCAAAAGATAGAAAACTCCATAGCAAGCGAAAAGAATTCCATCTGATTTGAAGCATAAGTTAATGAGCAAGTCAAATAAAGGCAAAGATCCATAATACTCCAAGTATAGGGAAAGAAACCTAATTCTAAGTCCAAGGGTCCAAGAATAATCCAAGAGGTCCAAGGTTTAAGAAGTCCAAGAGCATAACCACAAAGTTAAGAGCACCAATTTTTTTAAAGGTTTAATCATTTATTAGTGTTTTGAACAAGATATGGAAGAAGGAGAAAGAACCAAAACAGTCCCAAAAACAATCAAAAATCACATTCTGGACACTTGTTAACAGATTAACCATTTGTAGTGCAAATTTGGTTAATCGATTAACCAGTGTAAAATTTCAAATCTGGACGCAAAAACCAACTGTTAATAGATTAACCATTTTGTGCCTGTTTTTGGTTAATCAATTAACACTGTAAAAACAACAGAAAATCAATTTGAAAGTTGCAAAATTCTTAATCAATCATTTCTTCAAACACCTCATGATCAAGGATACAATTGTGCACGAAAATTCAAGTAAAACAACAACGAATACCACCAATAAAATACAATTTGCAAGATCCAAAGATCAAGCAACAAGAATCAATAAGAGATCACATTGTGAATGATGGATCAAGAACAACAATGATGGATTAAGAGATTACCACTCCAAATCTAAAAATTCTTCAAATTAACTCCAAAAAACCACTCTTCAAAACCTTGATCTACTGAAATTGATGATGAAAAAGTGAATGGATGAAGGTTTAGCTCAAATATTAGTAAGTTCTATTGACGAACTTACTAACTTTCAAAGGAAGAAAGAGCTTTGATGAATTGGGTAATTGGAGAAAATTGAGAGAGTCAAGAAAGAATTTGACAAGGTGAATTTGGCTATCAAAAGCTTGTGAAATAAATGAAATGAGACCTCTATTTATAGAATTTGGGCTTGGAAAATTTGGTGGATTGGAGTTTGGTTTGAAAACAAAAATTAGGCTTGAAATTTGAATTTGGAGGGAAATTAATGATCAAGTGATGATTAGTGAAAGTGTATGGTGGAAATCAATTATGATAAGGTAGGGGTTAAAAACGAAGTGATCTAGAATATTCTCATGATGAGACATTTGAATTTGGTGCCAAAAATTCTATATAATTTGAATTTGCTGTATTTTCAGAAAATGTGCACTGGTTAATCGATTAGCCATTTGCATGTGCAAATGTGTTAATCGATTAATACAGTGAAAATTTGCCTTTTGATGTGTTGTCTTGGTTCTGGCTCGATTTTTTTACTTGTCAAAGAAGGCATGGAAATAAACACATGAACCTTGGAGTCTCTTGAATAATTATCAATTAAAACTTGGGAAACTCTTGATCAAATAATTTTGAATTGTTTGCATATCAACTTTGACTTTTTTCAGATGAAATTCCATTCGAGCTGAGGAACTGGTATTTGATATCCTTGATCCAAATTTTTCCTGAAAAAGAGTTAGTAAAGAAAAAGAAAACAAATATATTTTTGGATTTTGAATAATGGTTAGTAAACATAAACATAAACAAATATCAAACAAAAATGAAAACAAGGGTGCCCTGTGATCTCTAAAAAAAAACACACACAGAGGAAGGCAAGAGAAACAAAGCTTGCAATCATGTTTGTGGTATGAAATGCAAATGATAAGTGGAATCTTAGAGGTAAAGATTAGGGTATTGCAGCTGCCCCTATTTAAGTTTCTTATATCCGGAGATATGAAGATTGACATCTTTGTCTCGACTAGATAGAAGAGACTTAAATATAACAATGAACCCAATTTTTGGCCCTAAGAGGCCACAAAATGATATGTTTATGCTAATGATATACATACAAAAGACCTCTGTGGGGAAAACAAGCCACAAGAGACAAACAAACTGTTGGAGAACAAAAGAAAGGAAAAGAGACTCCACAAGGGGAAACAAAAAGGGTAAGATTCTATTCCGATAAAGGAAAGAAATCAACTCAACTAGAAGAGATACCAATTGTCGGTTACTAGGCGAAGATAATGAAATCGAAGAGAAGAAGTAAAATACTTTCTACATGTCACTGGGTAGAAAACAAGGCAATAAACCAAATGAAAGATTACCGACTACCTGTCATTAGGTAGAAAATAACTGTAACTAACCAAAAAAAAGGGGAGACAAATGCTACCTACTACCTGTCACTGGGTAGAAAAATAAAGGCAACAATTTCGGGAGGAAGGATTACCTTTTACCAGTCACTGGGTAAAAACAATAACCAACCAAAAGGGGTGAGAAATATTACCTGCTACCTGTCATTGGGTAAAAAGTAAAGGCAATAGACTCAAAAGGTGAAGAAACATTACCGACTACCAGTCACTAGGTAGAAAAATAAAGGCAATGAACTCACAAAGAAAGATTACCGACTACCTATCACTAGGTAGAAAATATGACGGTAACTGACCAAAAAAGGACGAGGGATATTACCTACTACCTGCCAGTGGGTAGAAAATAAAGGCAATATACTCAAAAGGTGAAGAAACATTATCGGCTACCTGTCACTAGGTAGAAAAATAAAGGTAATGGACTTGCACTGAAATATTACCAACTATCTGTCACTAGTTAGGGTAAACAAAACTCGACTACTTGTTACTAGGTAGGAGAAAGAAATAAAGGTCGACTACCTATCACTGGATAGGAGAAGAAATAAAGGTTGACTACCTGTCACTGGGTAGGACTGACTACCTGTAACTGGGTAGGAGAAGAGGTATATTATCAGCTACCTGTCACTGGGCACCTCAAATCACACAACAAACTTCTCAAATAAAGAGACAACCATTTGTTGGGGATGAAATATCAATAACTCTATCGGGGATCTTCAAAAGAGATATGGGCAAGTTAAATCATACAACAGACTTCTCAAATAAGAGACAACCATCTGTTGAGGATTCACAACAAACTTC